CTTACCTACCTTCACCTTATCCGTCTTCTGCTCTTTCCCTCTCTTCCTTCCTTTCTCCTTCCAGTCGCCCCGTGCTCATCAAAACAAATCACTGCGGCTGTGTGGGAGTTGAAAAGTGCTGCACGGTGTTTTCTTGCCTTAGAGGGAACAGTGGTCCCGCGAGGGAGTCTCCGGCCGCTGCGCTCGCCTCGCCCGCCGGCCCCGAAGAGGCAGAGGCTTTCCCATGGCTTGTCCGGGGGGGAGGGGGGCTTGTAAGGCGAGCCGCTCCCCCCCCCATCCGCCCGCTCACTCGCTACACTACCCCGCCCATGTGAGCGGCAGCGGATGGGCGGGGGAATGAATGAGCATCTCACTCGCTCCCCGCCCATCCGCTCGCTCACTCTCTACACTACCCCACCCATGCGAGCGGCAGCGGATGGGCGGGGGAGCGAGCGATCAAAGAAGGCGCCAAAATTAAAGCGGGATCTTTTGACAATGGCCCGGAACGTGGGAAAAATTATGAAGAAATGTGTCTGTCCCGCCAAATGCGGGATGTCTGGTCACCTTAACTAAATGGTGCAAAATTGCACATTAATCCAGGGTGGAATATCCTGATCTAAAATCTATTTGTTTAAAGTTAACTTTTTAAATTTTAACTTGCCCAATGTTGCTGTAGCTAGCCTCAAAATAGGTAGATTGAAAAAAAAAATGATTGAACAAAATGTTTTTTCAACTCTCTGCTATTGGGGACCACACAATAAACATTTAGGAAATATGTGAACCATCCAATTAAACATTCTCCTCCTACATTTTATTTTTAAGAGGGTGAGAGTTCACATTTTTCAGCAGATAAGATAATCACTATTGTTGCAATTTTATGTGCCTTCCCATTTCCTCCGTTTTAAAAGATTTTTAAAATACATTTTGTAGGGGGAGAAATCAAAATTAACTATTCATTGACTGCTTCCATTTTAATATAATCTATGTCCTAATAACAACTGCTGACTCTTGTACATTTTTAAAATTTTAGCATTTACTAGGCTACTTTTATGCTTCAACAAACCAGTTTTCAACCACTGAACAATTTTTGCAGGCCAGTTAACTTGCAGTGCATCCAGAAGATTGAACAGCTCTGGCCAGTTGATTGGCAGTGATTGTGTGGTTTATGGGTAGGGAATGTGGAGATTATGGTTGGGGAATGTGGGTGACCGGCCAGATGGTGCACCTCCATGCATCATCAATAATCCCAGAATGTAATTTAAGAATCACTCATCTAACAGATATCCATTTTGCAATAATATGTCAACAGTATGTTTGTTCCTTGTGGCAGAACCCAGGAATAAAGGCTGCTCCAATCCTGTCTCTTTCTCTTGTGGAACTAACTGCAAAGTTAAAAGATGGCTCCCTGTCTCCAGAAAGTGTTCTATACATCTATATGGAAAAGGTAAGGTTGACTTTAAATGTTAAAATTCCAATATGGATGTGCATTCTTTATGCAAAACCTGCTTTCCTATTTTGCAAACGTCAATATAAACCATTGACATTTCACACCATAAATATGGTTACTGATTTGGGCAAAAGTTAAAAAACTAAAATCCTTTCTAACTCTGTGCCTTTCCCTGTTTCTATAATCTGAAGTAGAGGGTGATAGCTAGAAGCAATCAGTTTAAAGATCTGACATAGGACAGCTGATTGCTGTGATGATGCTTTAATGGATTCAGAAGGCATAAATGGTGGACAGAAGATTATATCTTCTTTTGTCCCGCTAGGAGAAAATGAGGAGTTCAACCAAGCCAAGTCTTTAAGTCAATCTATACTGGGAGTTAATCTGCAAAGGAAACAGAGGAGTTCAGTTCCTCAAGAGAACTGTTGAGAAACAGGAAACCTGGTGCTCTTGACTTTTGTAAACCCACACCTGACCCTCAACCTTTGTGCGTATTTTGTAAGACCTTCTATCATAAAAAGAGCATCAATCTCCAGAGATGACTTTCCATGGAAACAGAATCAATCCCCTCTGCACTGGTGGCAAAGAGCTGGAGGGCCTCATTCCAGTGGGACTGTATTATTGCCTGGAACTGGCTGACCATCTCAGCCCACTGAGCCTCCAGGCGCCAGTACCTGGCCTTGCACTCCAACAGGTCTTCCCTCTGCTTGAAAAGCCTATGCTTGTAGTCCTCAGTGAGGTGCTTCTGCTGAGCCTCCTTCTCGGTCAGATCCATTTGAACTGAGCCAGCTATTTTGCCAACTCTTTCTCATGGTGGCTGCTTAGCTCCAGCAACTGCTTTCTGTTGGGGCCCTAAGGAGCCTGGGTGGGTGAGGAGTGGCTGGGAGGGAAGGGGCGAGTAGAGGCCAGAGAGGTGCTGCTTGATGTGAGCGACATCAAATTGGTCACACCCACCTAGGCACACACACACACCCAGTCATTAGGCATGAATTTAGTGGTCCAAAAGGTTGGGGACTCCTGATGTAAAAGCCAGTTTATTTGATTTACAAGTACTGAGGGAAAGCTGGCTAAGCT